TGCTAGTATCACCGATCAAACATTATAAACGATGAATGAAAGTTGCTCACTTATATTAGAAGTTTAGAAAGCCTTCTAATCCTTTAACTAAAGAGAGTCTAAAAAATTCTAAACTCCTTGGAAATGGATAATCTAAAATATTGGATGGATATTGTTTTCCAGGTCCAATGTCATGGTCCATGAAATTTTGAAGTTCCAAATTGATATTGGCACCTGCCAAAACACTACGAAATTCTATGAATTACGACAAAACAGCCCGCTAAACAATATCGAATTGATATACGCCAGCTGTGTAAAACTGAAAACTAGAAGATATTGTGGTGTGCTAATGAATGCCTACAATCCAAAAATCTTAGAAAACGATTCGAAAAACTTAACTTATTAGATGAACCCAAAGCTAAAGAAACTATGGATTCCATTTCTTTCTCTTATTAACGTTTCGTCAAATTTCGTCTAATAACGGGCAAGATTGAAAGCAGCATAGTTTAACAACAATCTTGGATGAATTTTGTTGGCATAATATTAGCTGCTCAATATTGGGTTAATATTGTTCATCAATTCTTCTATTTGGCCCAATATTGGTTACCCCATTTGGGTTATTATTATTCATCATGTCTTGATTCAATATCAGGTGCGAAATTTTGAGTTAATATTGTTCACCAAGTCTTTGTTCAGCATTGAATGTCCAGTCGTGGACCAAGCTTGCCAACCAAGCTAGTTTGTTTGAAGTACATTTCAATGAACGTATTTCATCTTTCTGGAAAGCCGTCAGTACTGGAGTATCCGAACAAAATGGGGAAACGTTCTTTAGAATCATATAAGCTTGCAATTAATAGGACACTCTTACAATTAGTATTTTAGAAGATAGAATGAGTTTGATATCCAGTCAAGGAATTATCAAACCTTTTCAAACTTAATTTTTTACGTAAGATCAACGCTTTTTATTAGAAGGGTGGAAATATTTTTTGTTTGCTTCAACAAACCCTTTTTGTATTCATATGTAGGTACTAAGATTTACTTTTGAAAGCTACAGTCACGCGCGACTTGCCCTAATGTTTATTTTAAGATACTGTTCGTGTTTCCAAGCAGTCACATAGTTTGTCTGGTGGATGTAAACGTGTATAAAAAAAAATCGAAAGAAGCAAAATTGCGCGACTTCCTCGTCATCCTCGTCTTTTTTTGTATAGCTTCCCTCTGGCCGAGCAGGCGTTCGCAGGGTCACTAATCAATATACATTCTGCACAAATGGGGCTTCTGCGACCATCTTCTCTGCATTGCCATCGGGAATAAAAGTGGAAAATCGAGTTAAATGCCGTCAACGTCTTCGAGCATTTGACGCGAAAATTTAGAAAAGTTAGAACGCGATTAAATTAATAAAATAAACAATAGAAAAGGAAGAGACTAAGAGACTAATAAAAGGAAGTTTCTTGTTTTTACACGGATTACTACATTTGTATAATATTTTAACTCCACAATTCAATTATTTTGCTAATTTGGCTTGTTTGGATTTGAGATTAATCCTAATCATGAAATGTCAATATTTTAGGGCAATTTGGAGCCAAATCCGAGTTCATTTCCGAAAAATACATCGAAAATGATTAACCTTTTTGTGATTTTTGTTTTCAACCCACGATAGTGGCGTGCTCTTCATTATCTATATAGTTAAGATATATCAAAATCTCAATGTGTTAGGGTAATTCTAAAACGAGATTCTGCTTCAAATATTCTCTTGGTTATATTTCCCTTTTATTTCACGTAACAATGCAATGAAATATCTCAAAATTCAGATGTGATGTAGCAAGTCTGGCGCCAACGTCGTAAGCTAGGTCGGAAACGATATCTCTGAGGTCTTAACAGTTTCCTGATTCACGTTCACCTGAGTTATTTATTATACTACGGTGTAGATATTAAATTATATCATAGCATTAAAACATGAAATTAAGATTGTTAATTGTTACACTGCAATAAGTGGTAAAATTTTGCTACTAATAAGCTTTAAAAAACCTACTGTAGTGTAGTCGTATTTATATTAAATAACTAAATGATTTACTGGTTTTTCAAGAGAATTACTTCTCGTATTAATTTATGCTACCATGGTTAAGAGTTATTAAAAACCATAACTTAATTAATGTAAAGTTTGAATTAATCCATTCGGTCATAATTGAGGTAATTGGTAATTGATGATCCTCGAGCTTTCTAGGCATTGTTGATTAAAGCTTCTTGATCTTAATGATTCACGTACAACATCTTCAGATGTTCTTCTTCTTCGACTGGCGACCTTGGAAAGAATTCCTGAAGATGTCGTCCACGCTAGTCAGCAAAACATTGAAGACAAGAAGCCTTAATCAACGACGCGACCACCAGAAAGTTACAGGATCGCCAACAACAACAACAATGCACAGCTTATTTTGATTTACGAAATATCTTCATATTGTTATAAACGTATGCCTGAGGCAGCGATCGATAATGAGACACGTTTGATAGCTGACAGTTCAAAGTCATAAACTATTCGCGACATCACACACACAAAGACATGTGCAATAAAGATATCTTAGGAGAAGCTTTCCAGAAATAACAGGAAATATCGATAACTGTTTAAGTGTGTGAAAGGTATCACACGGAAGGAAGTCGATTAAATACAGGTGATATGGGAAACAGTGCGAAAAAGAGAAGTTCAAACAGTGAAATATATTCATGTGATAACTGATATAAGAAAAAACACAGTAAAATAAATAAACGATTGTCATAACAATCAATTCTATTTTGTGTGTTACTGTGTAAAATAAATTGCTTACATACATGACTTGTTCAGATAATTAGCTGTACCTACTAAAAAATTCGTTACAATATAAATTTAAATTTGTCTTGTTACAATTAATTGATCATAATGTACGAATTAAGTAAGTAGATAAAAGTCGCCCGATTATGATAGCGTTAAGTCGGAAAATTTACGACGCATTAAATTAAGTGAGCGATTTGAATGCCACACGGAAGGAAAATATATTCTGAATGAATACCAACAGACGACCGACGATAAAAAAGGAGGAACTGAAACGAGTTTAACAAGTTCGTCGGGAAATTCTTAAGGAAAATAATACGTCACTCGTTCTCTGATAGTTATAACACCTGTTGCTTTACAAATATTCCATTCAACTTCACTCCCTCCCGCTCTCTCTCACTCTTCCGAGTTTCACTTCAGATAATTAGATGTTTTATCCGGCGGTTAAACCCATTCAAATAATACTACGCAAACCGGAGCGAAGCAAATTGCTTTTACTGTTTTCCAGAGAATAAATGTACGTAATGGTATCTATACGTTCTGTATGGGATATATTACGCATATGGCATCTCACATTACGTATACACTAGTGGCAAGTTGAGAACCGATCATAAGGATTTTCTATTACATACAAAAGTTACTTTTTAATCTATACGTCGAAGGGAAAAGATTAGTATGCTTAGATTTGCAGATGCTATAGCAGTATTAGCATCTAGCAAGGAGGAGTTAGAGATAATTTTAAATAAAATGAAAGCAGTGTATTGTAAGGGAGGAAAAAGTAGGGAAAGAGTGAATATACAGATAGGAGACGAAAAATTAGAAGAAGTGGCAGATTTTAGGTATCTAGGAAGTCAGATAAGTCAGGATGGAAGGAGTAGTATGGATATAAAGCAGAGGATAGCGCAGGGTCGTGTCGCCTTCAATAAGAAGAAGCCACTTCTATACTAGCGAACGGTTAATTTACAAATTCGAAAAAGATTGTTAAAGGTGTATGTTTGAAGTACGGCGTTGGACAGGTGCAAAACATGGACGGTGGGCGCGGCGGAAAATTAAAGGGTTAGAAGCGTTCAAAATGTGGTATTACAGGCAAATGATGAGAACACCATAGATAAAAAAGGTTAAAAATGAAGAGGTTTTAGAAAGAATAGGAGAACAGAATGGGTTGTTCTAGTTTAAGGGAAATGAAAAGATTAGCTCAGGATAGGAAACAGTGGAGGTGCGTGTCCAACCAGTCTTAGGACTGACGACATTATGATGATGACAGTCGTTAAATCTTTTGAAAAATACGACACGTAGAGGAAAATTTGTACCTACAAATCTTTAACCATTCTTCCATGTAAATAATAAAGTAATATAAATCCAATAAATGCAATTCAACTATACATTTTTAGAAATATTCTGCTTTATTCAAAAAATTTTCAAAGTTCGGTTAGTTTAAGACAATTTTCAAAACACAGGAGTTATTTTCAGATAAACGTGATATGTTCAAGTTATAAATTCGCTCATAAAAAGAAACGTGCAATTTCTATGTTCGATAAACGTTTTGCCGCACCTGTATATGTATAGGAACCTTCATATGTACCTACTTACCTACCTTTATTAAGTATATATGTCTGTATATCTGTTGCTAATGCAGGTATGTTCTATTGACGAGCACGCATAGAATTTATTTCAATCCAACGCAACGTTTTAAATGGAAGCTTTATGCATCACTTTTCCAGTTAGTTCGCAGGGCAAAATTATTTATTAACTTCAAGTTTCATATCTCCCCTTGTTGTTATTGTTTAAATCTCTCATAAAATCAAGAACCATCAAGATAAAAAAAGAGACAATTCATAGCAGAAGTCGCGCCCTGGAGGTTCTGTACCGTTGTCTTCGAATAGCGGCATATTATAATTATATAAATTAATTACAAGAAGAAGAGATAATTTCCTGGATTTTCACAATTTATATGTAAAATTTTAGTGTTATTTATACGTATTTAGCGAATGTTTTAAATTAATGCAGTGGGGTCGATCATACCATCAGAATTACTTTTTCTAACAGTGAAAAAAATGTTCAAATATCCAATGTAAGCATCCATCACAAGAGTTACAAAAAATTCGAATTCGATGTTTCCTTTATCATAAAGCATACGCCTAAATCAACTGTTTCGCAGATATTTCCCTGGTTAATGCCGTAAAAAATCGTAAAAATGTTTATGTCAAAAGCTTTTACTTACCATCATAAGCTGCTCCTCTGGAGGATTTTGCCAGGACTGCATGGGGCGTCCTCCCCTACTTTGTAGATGTATCCCTCCAAGCGAATGATCTCTGGTTGCTTCTCGCATTGCTTTCCGCATTCTCGCCTCTTTAGGGTTGTACACGTAATCTGGATCAAAAACAGAAAATCATCTTTTGCTACATTTGAAACATCGCAAACAGAAAATGGAAATAATTTTCCGAATTATTCATTTTTTAATAAATAATATCCTACCTCCAACCTCTACCTAACCGCTTTTACTTAAATTCTAACATCTATTAAAACCATTAAAAAATGTAGGATAAATTTTGTAAATTAACTAGCGACCCGCCCCAGCTTCGCACGGGTGCAATGCTGATACTAAATATGTATATTTTTGTTTTGTTTAGATTATTATCGAGAAGGGGAAATCTTCAAAAGATACCCCCTGAACATACTAAATATACTACAGAATGTCTTTATATACAACATTCACAGTTTTTTTGTCATTAGACAATACAAACCGGCCTCCCGGCCGGTACCGCCGCAACCGCTATGTCCTTGCAGTAAGTAAGTTAGCGTTTAAGCGCTTACGGACTGTAACTTGTGACTGCCGGAAACGCACACGATATGAGCTCACAGCTCATTTGCAATATCGGTCTGATTAAGCAAAAACTAATAGGTACACCGTATTTAAAATAGTTTTAAATAAAGATTTTCTCCAAATTGTTAAATAATCCTGGTTTCGAAATGGCATATAAAAAAGCAGTTAATTATAATTTTTCATTAAATAAATAAAATGGAAGTCGTACTGACAAAACAGTATATTACGAAAATAAATAAAACTAAAACAAAAATACTGGTATGCAAGGTAAAAAATGTAGCGAAGAGCGAACATACAGATAGGAGAGAAAAAATTAGAAGAAGTGGCTGATATTCGGTATACATTAGAAAGTCAAAGAATATCTCAGGATAGAAAAAAGTGGAGGTGCATATCCAACAGTCTTAGGATTTGATTGGATTGAAAAACTATAGATTGTATTTATATTATTCCGTTTAAAGAGAAGAGATTTTTGTAGAGATGAATCTTGCAACATAAGTCGACAAAAATGCATTTCCTACGAATGCTGTCTGAGAAAAGTTGAAGAGCTTAAAAAGGTCTGTAAAAACGTCCAGGACGGCATTCATATGTGTGCCAGGGTTAATTCACAAATTGATAAAATATGACTTATACTCAGAAACTGAATTCCAAGTACGACTAGTAAACTATAGAGTACTAACTAGTGGCTACAATTAGGAGCTTTCAAGATAAGTTATAGGAAAATTAAAACCGAGGCGCGTTGACGATAACTATCACTGAAAGGTCAAAATCAAAAATTATTAAAACACACTAATCCATTACAAAATTCTGTGTAACAACCCCTCATACAATTCCGTAGAATATGTGAATATGAATTTCAATACGCTTTTCTTTACATTATTTCACCCAACTCAGTTCTTGATTTATCAATCTAAGTCAGTCTATTAAAAGAAGGAGGTTAATAAGAACATTTTTTTGTCTTTCTGACCTAACAAAATATATACTTATTAGCAAAATGAACCGAATAATAAATATTTTTCACAAATTTAAGTAAAGTACCTACAGACAAATTCTTACAAAAATACTTCTTGACGATAAACCGTCAAACATTGATTTCAGATCAAAATAAAGCGTGATAGCAGTTACTTTCCCATCTGATGAACTCAATTTCAGTTCGAAACAAAGTTGATCAGAGTTTGTGACACACATATATATATAACCTTCTGTCGGTGTCCTACCTGGAAACGGTGTGGCACACGGCCAGTATTGTTGATAACACGGTCCATTTCCGTAATAATTCTGATACTGATGGCCGTAGTACTCCGACTCGTACGTAAAGTTCTCGTAATACTGGTGATAAGGTCCGTAATACGGAAATTTGTATTGCATATAATTGCAACAGTCCATCTTCAAACCATAGTCGTCATTAAATACCACAAAATTTACGCAAAAGCACTCGTACTTTTAGTTGTCTAATATATATGTATTTAAAACTTACAGCAAGATATGATACAGTTTAAAGAACTTTCCAACATGTTTTAAATGGGCATTTTGATTACTATTTAATTTATTAATTGTATAATGTACAGTTATGCCATCAAAATAATGTAACTGCTTGAACTATGTATAGACGTACATTAAGACAGTACTTGGGATTATTATTCTATATTTATTTTAAACATAAAAGAAACTTAAATTAGAATACCCTGTGTACTTTAAGATGTGGTTATTGTGGAAAACAACTTAATGCCAGTCTTTCTTAAACGGCATGGTAATTTTTATTCATTATTTATTATCACCACCTCAGTTTCTATTGAAATTTACTTTTAAAATAACAATTTAAACACTTTAGATATTGTTATTATGTACATATATTAAATGGTACATCGTCTTTACATTTTTCCGAATCGTTCCCGGATTTTATCAAACGTGCGTCACCGTCACGTCCAAAACGGACAGACTTTCGAAAAATTTACTCCGTTTGGGCAGATACGTTTTCGCGCCAAAAATATCGCGAGCGAAAAAGCGTCGCCGGTGTCCGAGGACGCAGTGTATCGGCCAGCATGCGACGAGAACGAGGACGACGACGACGACGTCGTCGTGTGCGTCTAGCGGGAGCGCGCAAGGCGACGCGTGCGACGTCGACGGACGACGCCGTCGTCTGCTGTTCGATCGACGCAATCAATAAGTTGCGCCGCGCCGCCGCCTCCTGCCGAACCGACTCTTCAGCGTCGCGACGCTTGCCAGAGCGCACACGAAACCTGCCGCATAAGTGGGTCACTTCACACCGTGTACCCTACACACGATCACATCGTTGTTATGTATGCAAAATGCCAAAGGTGTTCACCAAGTAACAACTGAAAATCTGCTAGCAATTTAACCAACCATTCCCACTTTGATTGTAAAACAACTCTTTAAAAAAGTTTTTCAGAAATGGAAATGTTAAGCTAACCAAAACCAATCTGATCTAAAATTGACTACATCAACTGACATAACGTATTTTTCACAATAGGGATAATTTTAGAGACTTAAATTATCTAAAAAATAAGTCATGTTGGCTGACATTCTATTTAATAAAATGAGAAACTTTTGTAGTATTTTAGACTTTTTAGACATACAAAACTTAAATTAAATTCTATCTAATAGAATTTGATCTGCAACGCTTACTGAAAGTTCATAAAACTATGAACTTCTATTAATATCACAGTCGCTCTATTGTAAGTTTTTATACCATCACTTATAAGAACATTTACTATTACTACTAATGAGAAGTAAAATACCCTTAGATGAGAGGAAAACTTTTCATGTTATTTCAACTAAAAAAATTAAGCTCTATGTATTCAAAAATCAAGAACTAATTCAAAAAAATTAAAGTCAAGACAAATTATGCTGATGATTTAAATAAGTAAAAATGTTAGAAATGAATTTCTTAAGAGAATCTTATTCCATTTCTAAATCACTAGCACAACAACCCTCTCCCACCCACATAGGAAGTTTTAACTTAAACAATTAAACAATCAATTAGTGACCGAGTTTTCTTCACAAGAAATGTAAAAAGCCTAAAAATACATTTATGGTCCTTTTTGGCTTTAATGTTTTGCGGAGTTGTCCTAGAAAATTTTAATTGCTGAAATTAGTAGTAACTCTTGGTTGACACACACATAAGACACATTTAAGGATATTTTGTGTAACCCAAATATGTAATAGGCGACAGTGCCTGACACGGAAATGGCTCGATATGGTGCACATCAATTCCATTAAAACACTGTGTTTAATGTGATGTTGTTCTTAAAGTACTTTAATAAACGACATTCAATATGATAACAAAACATCGAAGGGAAATATTTTAATGGGAGTTATTAGGTATCTAACTATATTACAGCACCTATAGGAAAAATCATTGAAAAAGTTCTTCAGTTTTTTTAGAATCACAGAATACGTAATCACTTTACCGTAGTTACATGGAATTATCTGATTATTTATTAAAGAATGGCTAATAAAACTTAAAAAATATTATTATCCAAATTTACTATAAGGTGTTTCATTTGAACATATCCAGAAAAATGCAACATGGTTTGGCCTCTTTGCAAATTGCTATTAAAAAATCGAACATGCATGATTAAATAATTAAACCCGATGAATTAAAAATTGAACTCCTATATTTCTTTAAAATGAAGACACTTAAAATTTTACATGGAACGAATAGTCTAAAAAAGGTAATCTAAAAATTAAGTAGTAAACAGGATGTTTCGTATAATAGCACTCATTGGTCCATATTACTATTTCAACTTCTACAACAGGCCAACTTTAATTTCATTTTCGAAATCTACATTAAATTGTGATTATTATATCATGTATCACATCTTATATCCGTCTGTATTAATGTGTATTAATGTTAGTGTTAAATCCCTATCAAAGTTTTGTACAAATGACTCTTTTTAAATAATTAACACAAAAATACATTTTATATATACTTAAACAAAAGAAGAGCGCCTCATAAATAAATATACAAACGATAGGTGTCAGAGACCCTCACTTAACATACATTTAATATTTTTAATGAGCGAAATTCAACTTACCGAGCAAATGGAATTTTAGTACACATTTACTTCTTCTGGTACAAGCCAAAGAAATTATTTGATTCTGGATAAGGCTATAATTTCATATCCAAAAATACTTATTACATCTACAGAAGAAGAACTAATAGTAAATAATTCGGAATGGAGATTTCGTATCAGTATTACATAGAAACGAATTTTAAACATGATTGCAGATATGCGATAGCGTATCGAATACGAATCAATATCCACGCAAAGTGCGCTACAAACGAGGTGAGAAAAAAATCACCGAAAGTTTTCCCAAACGGAAAAGAATTCGCCGGAAAGCATCGGAAATAAATTGTTTCGCGTCGACAATCGATTCCGTTCAACGTGTTCGAATCCTTGCCGTTGTTGTCGTGTGGTAGTTGTATAGTACGCTCCTACATAGATAGTAGTAGTAGTAGCTCGATGCTATTTTCCACCATCAGTTTTCATTTTATGTCCTAACCTGTTGTTCGCCGTTTCTGTCGAAACAGCTGAGGCGAATGCCGGCCGCGAATATAATTTTCAAATGGTCCATAAAACTGAAATATTTGCCATCTCGAACCGTTTATAATTCGAGCGCAACACGTTGCCGCTCGATTCGGAACGAATACACGAAACAACGCAACGGTCCCAATAAGTACATCATAAACATAAAGTTATTGAGCTTAAATAGGAAACACCACGATAAAAGAGATCGTAATAGAAAATCTTGGCAAAAAAAGTTTAAATAATCCTAGATAAATTGTGGCTTGTATGTATATTCCAACTGCTAAAAACAGTAGCACATCTCTCACAATCGGACATATGTTTTTTGGTGGAATACAGCAAACTATAAAATTTCTAACTAACGGATATCTAATTTTACAATTTTTACAAGAAATTCATTAGTCAAATGGAGATCTGGGCTTAATGCAGAGTGCATCGTTTGCGTCATCATAAATCCGTTTGAACCACCGTAAAGATGGAAATCCTGCGCGTCCAAATTTGAACATTGGTTGAAAAGGACTCGAAATTGTAAAGGATTTCCTTCGATTTCACACAAACACTATTTCATCAGAGCACATGTCATTATCATTATCATACAAATTTAAATTGCCTTGACCCACTAAATAAAGCGAAAATTCCCGCTTTCGAAATTTAGAAAGAAAATTTGTGAATTGTTAAAAAAACTGTGAAATTATGAATTGATTTTGCAAAAATACTTATGTGACTTATTAAGACATTAAGGTGTTAATCTAATGTAATCAAACATTTCATCTTTGTACGAAACGAGGGAAATATTGTTTAAAGAAATTTTTATATAACTCCATCTACATTTTCCACTCTTCCAATATATTTTTTGGACTTATGCATCGGAGAATAGATTACATGCGGATATGTATTCCTACAGAAAAGTGACGGGACGCCTCGTATGAAAGAGGAACACGAGGGGCGGCTAGTACGACTACGCCTTGCATAGGTGCACTTGGGTAATCGACCGCCAAGCCCTCGATAACTACTTTATTAGATCGAAGACGCAGCTTGGCTTCCGCCCCCACCTAGACGTCGCATCATTTTGAATGTATATTCACATGAAATATCTAAAGAAATCGATGTACTTATACGATAAAATATCAGGAATCAAAAAAGTCGCAAAATTTTTATTTCTATCATGCAGACTTTTTCTGGCCTTTGAAAGAATGCTACGAAAATTATTACGCAGTTTTACAACAGATTTTCACAACCTTGTAACTGTACATTCCACTTTTTTAAGACTTTTCTCAACCATGAAACTACTGTACTAAACATATTTGTAAAATTTGTCAATGTTCGTTCTGTACTTACATTACTTTTCAAAAAAATAATCTGTACTATCTAAAATTGAAAATTAGTCTGGGGTAAGGCATTACGTCATTTTGTGCAAAATATTTACGTAAAGAAAACTACAAGATCTTTTTCTATTTTTTGTTTAGAAGGGGTAGACCAAGATTAGATTACTGTTCACAAATAGTTAAGGATGTGGAATGCTCTAGTTTTAAGGAAATGCAAAGATTAGCTCAAATAAGAAAGAGTAAAGGTGTGTGTCCAACCAGTCTTTGAACTGACGACCTTATGATAATGATGAAGATGACTATAAAAACAAGGTAAGTAAGTAATGGTATGTTTCCCCCATTTTGATTTTAGATTATAACACTGTAAAAAATATAAGGCTAATCGTTTTCGAGAAAATTTGCAAATCCTAAGAAGGTAGGTGAAATTGATGAGTTTACAAAAACTTAATAAGCAATCAATAGATCACGTTAAAAATTATAAAAGTACAAAATATAAAACACGCATTCTTAAATATCCCAGAAAAGCTTCAAAACTGATTTAGCGTCAAAGGTTTATGCAGTATAGATACCAAATTTCATACTGGGGAAAAATCCTGTTCAGAATCGCCCGTTTGAAAAGGCGTAGCTCCCTTAGGAAGCATTTTCGACAAATGTTTAGAGAACTGAACACCCTCTATATCGGTAACAACAGGAAAATGCACAAAAATGACCCAGTTTAACTACCAAAACCACTGTACTTAACTATTAGACTGATCCTAAATATTATGAATTATTAGAATAAGGTAAAAGAACAATAAGAAATCACAAAAACAATCTTCAGAATATTCGCGGTTATGGTAACCATTTTCATACTCTTATTAAACCAAATTTTCTTTGTTATTTACTACACAGCTTCCTGATTTGCTATTATACTTTGGATATTTATAAAAATTCAGCAAACAACGAAGAGATAGTGATGACTGATGACTACGACCTATGACTAAGATTCGGGACGAAAAAATCCTGAGCAAAGATTCTTGCAACTAAAAAAAGGAGCCGAATCAAAAATCATTCTTCTTCGTAAAATAATAGGGCTGTTTATTCGCCGCAGTCAGTTGCCTACTCAAAAGCGCAAACCGCAAAGTGCCGAGAGCTTTCGTTGTGTCGCGTTTCAGCAGTCGCTTTCG